CCCCTGCCTCTCCTTCAGTGGCCCCAACACCCCATCCCTGCCCAATCAAAGTTGCCTCTCAACCACCCAGACTGTGGTCCTTTTTCCCCTTATCCCTCCCTAAGTGTGGTAAGCTTCATTTTCCCCTAAAGCCCCTGTCCTTCTGGGGCACCAGGGCCCAGCCCCACTGGCCTCAGGGACTCACACATTTGGACCACAGCTTCACTCACCTTTTTGATACCATACAGTAGGCTGACAATTGCTGCCACCAAAGACAGAGTGATCAACACGATGGCCCAGTCGGGGACAGAGCCCTTTTCCTGTGGCTTCGGGCCTGAGGACCAGAGAGGGACAGTGATCTAGACAGGTGGGACCTCAATCCCCCGACTCCCCACTGCCCTCTGTAACTTTGCATCTTTCCTTCTGTGACTCTGATGTCTACGTGACTCTGAGACCACGTTGCTCGGTGGAGTTCTGTCTTGTCATCTTGGGAACAGAATTTCAGTGGAGGGGGTTTCAAAGGGCATCACACCAAACCTCACTCACTTCTTTCCTAACACCTGTGGACGTGTCTGTCAGTCTCTAAAGTCCTCACTGACATCCATGCCTCTCCATCTTTCTGAACCTTCCTCCATATTCCAGGCTGTTGTTATACCTCTCTCGTCTGCAATGCCTCTGCACTCTGACAGTCTCTCGGAAGGTCTCTCAGCTTATTCAGAGGCTGCCCCCTTCTCCTTCCTCACCACCCAACCCTGACTCTGATCTTTAAGGGGAGCCAGAACCAGTCCTCTTGTTTTCCCTTCGCTCATTTCCTGCCCTCAGACTGCCTGGTGGGGAGACTTGGATTGAACGGGAGGGAGGAGGGAGACAGAGGAGGAGGACAGAATCTCGGGAGGGGATACTTTTTGCCCAGCAAAGGCAAGTTGGGCCACAAGGAATAAAGTCGAAAACCTTTTGAGGAAGCGATCAGGTAACAGCCATCCAGCTTCTGGTCTGACCAGAGGCTTGAGGGGCACTGGAACCCTTTGAAGAACTGGGGATGTTCTTAGGTGTACTCAAAACACAGAAGAAAGCAGGCCTTAAGCCTGTCCCTACAATGGCAACCCACTCCAGTATTCTTGCCTAGAGAATTCCACGGACAGAGGAGCCTGGTGGGCTACAGTCCATGGGGTTGCAAAGAGTTGGAAACGACTGAATGATGAACACTTTCACACTTTCACACTCCTCTCCAGGAGCTGGGGTGCCTGCCGGTCAGTGACCCAGTGCAAACAAGAGCGCCTTACTGGTCGGGACGCTGAGCCCAGAGGAGGCGGTGGCTGCTTCAGCTGTGGTGGCTGCGGAACCGCTTGAGACAGCCACACCTGGTGTGGAAGCCCCAGGCACGGGTAAGGCATTTCCCAGGGCTGTTGTTGGGGAGACAGATCCTAGAAGCGCAGAGGGGAAAACAGGTGGAGATCTGAGCAAGAACAGAAGCAGAAATTCCATCCAGTGCCCTCTCAGTTGAAATCCTGGCAAGTGTTTGGTAAATAAAAATAAAAGGACTGAGAAAAGCTAAGACAGTCTTAAAAACAGAAGTGGATGGCTTATACTACCATACCTTAAGACTGGCTGCAAAGCTGCAGACATTAAGGACTGTGGCCCTGGAGTTAAGAATAGACAGAAGAGAGCCCAGAAATAGACTTGGTCACTTTACTTTCAATAAAGGGACTCACACATTTCAATGGTGGGGAGAGAGGAAGAGTCTTTGAAATGAATGGTTCCAGGGCAACTGGTTATCTGTAAGAGGAAAAAAGGGATCTTGACCCCTACCTCACTCCATACACAGAAATTAATCTGAGATATATCATAGGCTTAAATTTGAAAGCTAAGATTCTTAGATTCAAAGATTCTAAATTTGAAATTAAAGTTTCTGGAAGAACACTATCAGAGAATATTTTCATGACCTTGAAGTAGACAAAAAAAAAAAGTCTTAGGCAGGATATAAAAACACTAACTACAAGAGAAAAAGTTGATAAGTTGAAAAGCAGAAGGGGGTCCTTTGTATAGCTACCAAAGCCAGGACTGCTTCAGTGAGGCTCTGGGAGCTAACGATTTATTCTCGGCTGAGCACAGGAAGCCCCCACCCAGAGCTGCAGGCAAAGCCAAAGAGCTATTCAGAGATGGCCTGAGCAACAGAAGTGTCACCTGGCAACGCTGATGCTGCTCCTGATGGGCTCCCAGAAATGGTTGGAGTTAAAGTCTGAGGATTACTGGGCAAAGCCCCAGGTGTTGAAGAAACTGTAGAGAAACTCACAGAGACAGTGGAAAGACCAGCAGAGATATCCCCAGAGACAGTAGAGGGGCCAGCAGAGACAGTGGGGAGACCTGCAGAGACAGTGGGGAGACCTGCAGAGACAGTGGGGAGACCAGCAGAGACAGTAGGGAGACCAGCAGAGACATCCCCAGAGACAGTAGGGAGACTTGCAGAGACAGTAGGGAGACCAGCAGAGACATCCCCAGAGACAGTAGGGAGACCTGCAGAGACAGTGGGGAGACCTGCAGCGATGGTGGGGAGACCAGCAGAGACGGTGGGGAGACCTCCAGAGTTAGCTGTCCCCGATGGGATCAGCAGAGCTGTTGGCAGAAGAAAGATGAGAAGATGGAGTTAGAAGAGCTGGCCCTCTCCCTGGATCCTGAGTCCACATCTTGCCCTCTACACCCCCCGTGCTCACCATAGCCAGTGAAGGCCTGAAGGCCCAGGAGCAGCACCAGTGCGGCAGCCATGGTGCCCGCTGAGATGCGCTTCCAGGACCGTCTCCCTGGCTCTTTAAAGGCTTTAAGGCCCTATTAGAAGGCTCAGGAGAGCCAGGTGTGCCAGGGCCTCCATCAACACCAGGATCTTCATTCCCAGGGAGAGGCCACCCAACTGTCCCCAGGGGATTAACCTGTCCCAGCTTGATCCCAGGAAGCACTGGGCGAGGGGGAGAGTGAATAAGAGCCTGAGGATTCTCCTTCCAGGTCCTCAGGCTCTTTCTGGGTTCAGGATCTAACCCCCAGGTCAGAGTCAGTCCCCAGTCCAGAACTTCTCTGAAGGGGAGAGACCCAGGTCTCCTATCCCAAGGTCCTCGTGCTCCTAGAAATATGACTGTGAGGTATATGGGTCCCTAGGGGATGCAGTGGGTGGAGAATGACTGATGCTGACCTTATCTGACTCTTAGAAGAGTCCAGGGCAGGGCAGGAGGGTGAACACCTGAACCATCCCTCCTTCACAGTGACTGCAGCCCATAGAACTTTCCATTCCTTTGGCGGAGAAGGAGTGAGGAGAGGAGAGGGGCACCAGGCAAGACAACAATCTGTTCAGGGGCAGTGGGATGAGCAAGTTCAGAACCCAGCTCTGAATCCACTGCGCTAGAATCCACCACTTCCAAGCTGTGCACTCTCGGGCAAATCATGTGACCTATCAAAGTCTTCGCCCCTAAAACTGGGGTAAGGCAGTATCTACTTCAGAGGGCCATAATAAGGATTAAAGGAAATAATGTTTCTAAGGCGCCCAACACACAGCAGCCTCAGCTATGATGACATGGAAAGAGGAGCGCCCGCTGGGAAAGGCAGAGGCACACTCCCACTCTCCTCTTAGGAGGACTCAGATACCCTGAAGCACCTCTCTGTGTTCCCCGTTCTTACCTGCTGCTCCTGCCTCCTATGTCTGATGGTCCTTTTGTCCATGAATTCCTCCCAGTCTGGGCTCCCTGCTGTCCAGTACACGTCTGAGAGCCCCTGGGTTGCCCGTTATTTACATTCATGGTATAGACAGTGTCCCCCTCCATCTCTCCATCTTGCTGGTCCTGCTTTTGGCTTTTCTCCCTGACTCTACCCTGTACCCTGTCTCCATCCCTCTGCTCAGGGGCCCACTGGTTTTGGGGGGAAGGGAGAGAAGACACATAGGGAGGCAACTAAGATGATAAAAGGGCATGTGCCCATGTGTATTCTAGAAGGTTTACACGACTAGTTTGTCAGTCTGTTGAGCTTATCCCTGTGTCTGGCTAATGACAGCCTGGTCTGTGTCTAATCTCTCTGCTAGTGACTTACTGTGTGACCTTAATAAATCATTTACCCTCTCTGAGCCTTAGTTTCCTATTTTTTTAAAGAGAGAAGGTAGGGACTTCCCTCGTGGTTCAGAGGCTAAGACCACACTCCCAATGCAGGGGGCCTGGAGTTTGATCCCTAGTCAGGGAACTAGATCCCATATGCCACAACTAAGACCCAGTGCAGTCAAATAAAATAAATAAAGAAGAAAGAAAGAAGGTAAACTAGACAGGTCACAAATTCCCTCTACATCCTGTCCTTGTGTTTGCCATTCTGAGTGACGTGGGAAAGGGCTTTGGCTGGGAGGATGAAGGGATTTCTTTTGCGTGAGCACATGAGGCAGGACGTGGTGGGGATATTTGATGAAACTGCGTCTCCGCCCAAGTAGCTAGGATATGTTAGACTAAAACAAAAATATTCAAAGGTGAAAGTTCCCCCTCACCCAGAAAGTCACTGCGGCTGAGGGAGCAGGACACTTGGGTTTGGGGAGAACTCCGTGTAATCTGCCCCTCCCTTTCGGGTCCACATTCCTGAGCCCTTGGGTGGCATGGCCGATAGAAATTAATCACAGTTAATAATTAATCCCTAAAGAGCAATGAGAAGCCCAGGCGTGGGTGAGGCCCAGACACCAGCACAAAGTGACGCCTCCCCAACTTCCCTCCCTGGGGCACCCACTCCCTCTCAAGCTTTGAGACGTGGGGGAGAAGTGGGACACGGGATTGAGGAAAGGGGACCGCCCTCCCTTTCCCCAACAGCCCAGTGAATGGCCCTCTCCTGGGTCCTCAGAGCCTTATTGAGAGAACTGGAAAATCCAGTTGCCCAGCCCCCCTCCCATCACCCCACGGGCACCATTGCTGGGACTGAGTAGGGAGCAGGAAGGCAGGCCCGGTGAGGAGAGGCCAGCGGGCCTTCAGACATCTCTTCCACCATCTGAGAAGCGAGGGGATAGAGCCGCGATGGGGGCTGGGCTGCCCCTCGTCCTCCTCCTGACCCTTGTCGGCAGCTCACAGGGGGCAGGTGAGTCTGGAGCACAACACACCTGGTCCCCAAGACAAGAAGAGGCCAAGAGGGGGTGAGAGAGAGATGGAGGCACCCTAGTCCTGAGGTCCTCAGGGCTCAGAGCTGAACTGCAGTAAGAGGGTCTGGAAGGGCATCGTCTGGAAGGGATGAAAGACCTCGGGTTGGGATGGGATAGGAGGGGCGCCTGCACCCCTGAGGGAGCCTGTTCCTGGCAGCTGGGTTCTCAGCTGTGCATCTGGATTCCTAGGGCCGGGAATGACTTTGCAACTGAAGTTGAAGAACTCCCTTCTGGCAAATTCCTCCTACAATTCCAGCTTCCTGGACTTTCTCCAGAAGGTAGCCCTTTGGGAGGGAAACAGAGGGGGCTGTGTGAACTTGGAGTGCGTTTCTGAGTCGGTTTGGTTTGGGCGGCTGGCCGCCCCCAGGTATGAGTGAGAGCCATCTTACACCTCACCCTCTGTCTCCCTCAGTTCTGCCTCCTCCTCCACCTCCCCGTGGGGACCAACGTCACCCTGCATCAAGCAGGGTCCTCACAGCACGTCACCTGCAGAGTCTGAGAGCAGCCGAAGCCTGTGCCCTTCTTGGCTGGGGCCTCCGGTCCCCAGGGAGCAGGCGCCATGCCCTGACCCTGTCTTCCAGCAGGACCTCACCCTGTTAAGTGGCAGTAAATATGCTGAATTCAGTGACCTGACTTTGTGGGTTCATGGGCGGAGGGGCTGGCAGGAAAAGGGAACTGGATACTCAAGTGTCTGACTCTCCCTTGTTAAGCAGAGGGTTTCCCCAGTGGATGCACTCTCTCCTAACATCATGCCAAAGGCCTACTTAGGGACACACACACACACACACGCACGCACGCATGCACACGCGCGCACGTGCACATGCACTGCAGGTTGAGTTCCTCAGAGCACCTGGGAATAAAAGAAAGGAACCTTTACTGAATTCCTGCTTTGTTCCAGGCAAGAGGCTTTCCCATGTCAACACCTGCAGCAGGTTCCCATATAGCATAATAGATCTCATTATCCCATTTTACCGATGAGGAAATCGAGGCTTAAAAGATGGTAAGTCACTTACTTGAGTTCCATTAGCAATGGAGATGTCTGACACCAAGCAAATGCCTTGGCTTAAGCAAGATTTTAATTTCCTCTCCCTTTGCTTATGCTTTGGGGCTGGGTGCTCAGGAACCTCAGGCAGGGATGTGGGCAGAACACGCCCAGTCAGGGTAGCAGGTGGGATGGGGGAACGTTGATGTGAGAGATGAGGGGTTCAGCTTGTGAGAGGATGGCCAGCCTGGCAGAATAGGAGGGGAGACAGCATGGAACCTATGGGAACATGTAATACCACAGGCCCACGCTTATGTCCTAGATGAGTTTCTTATTCTCCTAGAACTTCTTTTTTTTTTTTCTGCTCTGGGTATTAGGTGAGGCATGTGGGATCTAGTTCCCTGGTCAGGGATCAAACCCAGGCCCCCAGATCAGAAGCTCGAAGTCTGGTGCTTGCTTTGGCAGCACATATACTAAAATTGGAATGATACAGAGATTAGCATGGCCCCTGTGCAAGGATGACATGCAAAGTCGTGAAGTGTTCCTTATTTTTATTCATGTTGAGGTTTGACAGAAAACAACAAAATTCTGTAAAGTAATTATCCTTCAATTAAAAAAAGAATTTAAGAGCCATTAAAAAAAAGAAGCTCAAAGTCTGTTAAGACTGGACCAGCGAAGTCCGAGTCTCCATTGCTTTACCAGCAAAATGAGGATAATGGTAGTACCTGCTTTCTTGAATTGTCTTGAGGATTCCATGGATAGGCTACCGAGGACACTTGCCATGGTACCTGTCAGATAAGTGGGTCTGGATGGTAGGAACTTTTATTAGGGTGGAAACCTGGCCCGGTATAAAAGTCTTAGTCCCCTAGGGCTCTGCCTTCCCCTGCTTTTCTTTTCTTTTTTTTTTTTTGGCTGCACGGCATGCAGGAGCCCAGTGGAACCTGGGCCCCTTGCAGTGGAAACACAGAGTCCCAACCAATGGACCACCAGGGAAGTCCCACCTCCTGCTCTTAAGGCAGGTACTCATCTTACTCCACACTCAAGATGCTCTTGACTTCTTACTGGCTGACTCTAAATGCAAGCATGCAGCCCAGACTTGACCATGAAGGGCTATTGGTGTGATTGCTTCCTGCTCTCCACAGTTCCTGTCCTACCAACCTGCTCCAACCCCGCACAGCACCACCACCACATGAAACTAGAGACTGGCTCCTTTGGAGCAAGGGAAAGGTAACATTCCAAATGGAGTATCCCTGAAGATAAGAAAGCATAACAAAACGAAATTTCTTTCGTTTCCTTGACAGCTGTCCTGGGACTATTACCCCTGGAAGAGGAGAGGTAGCTGGGGGCTCTGTAGGACCCCAGTATTTCATGACTGACCTCTAGGCTGCACCAGTGGGCAGGTGGGTCAGGTGAATAGACCCCAAACAAGTTGAGGGATTGAATGTCTGGATCTCCAAAAGGAGGGAGGAGCAGACAGTGCACTGTTTTTGTTGCTTAATTTTGATTTATTTTACGTGTATTTTTCTGACTGTCTCTGCTGGAATCAAAGTAAAAAAAAAAGGGTAAGTGTAGTCACTCAGTCGTGTCAGACTCTTTGTGACCCATGGACTCCTCTGTGCATGGAATTCTCTAGGCAAGAATACTGGAGTGGGTTGCTATCCCCTTTTCCAGGGAATCTTCCTGGCTCAGGGATCGAACCTGGGTCTCCTGCATTGCAGGCAGATTCTTTACCATCTGAGCCACAAGGGAAGCCTAAATCAAAGTACAAAAGAGCAAAGATTTTTGTTTCTCTCATTGATAAATCCAAGGGTTCAGAATAGAGCCCAGCCTGTAATAGGTGCTCAAGAAAAAGGAAGGTGCTCACTCCCTCCTTTTCCTTCCCCTCTGGTGGGATGTGGTATACTGGTGGGAGCATTCCTTAGACCCAGAGTTGGGAAGAGTGTATTAAGATGGCAGGAAAGTAAGATCAAAAGGGATACGGACTCCTCCATTGCAGAGTCCTGCACTGCTTCTGCCCAGCAAAAGAAACACCTATCTCATCTAAGCCATTATCTTAGTTGCTTTTTAAAAATAACTCTTATTTTTTATTTTTTAATTGAAGTATAGCTGATTCATAATATTAGTTTCAGATGTACAACATAGTGATTCAATATTTTTATAGATTAGCCACCACTATCTCTGAAGCTTGGTTACCGCAGGCAGATAACTGGCACCTAACTTACTGGGCTGAACTCCAGTAATTCCAGCTGATACTGTGGACTAATTCCTTTTATTCCTTGAGCAAGTCTCTTCAACTCTAAAATGGAGCAAACACCCGCCTCATGAGGTTCTCAGGAGGAATAAATGGCACCACAGAAGATCCAGCCAGGCCCAGCACACACAGTAGGTTCTCAGAGCTGCTGGACAGAATGTCACTTGGGTGGCAGGCCCCTGAATTCCACCAATGGGACAAGGTGTGTAAGGTGGCTAGGAGGGCGTCTGTGTGTTTCTGTGTACCCCTGTCTGAGGCTGGGCGGTGTGTCCCTAGCACTGTGGTCTCAAGATACACAGAAGTGGGAGGAACTCAATCCCCAGCACAGCCTGCAGCTCCCCAGGCCTGTGGGAAGTCCCCCATCCCCTCAGCATCTCTGGAAATAAGGCCAAGAAGCAGGGAAGCTCCCTTTTGGTGAAAAGCAGAGGAGAAAGAGCCTACAGAAGTTGGACCACTGTCAGTAAGTGCAGGAAATAAGTGGAACCCGGGTCACTGTGCTCAGGTCCTACTTGAGAGCTTCTCGCCCATCCAATGAGGGAGGCCCTGCCCAGCACCCACACTCCCACCATGGCCCAGAGCACTAGGAGGCTGCCCCCCTTTTCCCAGACCAGAGTGTCAGGAACAACCAAGAGGCAGGAAAGTCATGGCTAAGGGAAAGGATAAAAGGACCACAGCAGACATGTTTGGGATTTTAAGTTTATCTGAGTGTCCTCCTTCCCAAACTTCCAGGTGGGACTTCAGAGGAGGGAAGCGAGGGCAAAAATGTGAGCGTCTCGAGGTCACCCAGTCATCTGACAAGCCAGTGTGTTTCCTCACTGACAAAACGAAGGGGCTGGACCACATAACACCCCGATGCTGTCCGGTCTGTCCTCAGAGGCCTCAAAGGCGGGTCTGGGAGGGAGGAAAGTCATGGGGATGGTGAGCCCCCAGGGCTTGGAGACGCATCCATCAGCTGCCGGAGGTAAGAGGCCGCCTTGTCCAGTTTTGACAATTCCAACTTGAGGGAAGAAAGCTGAGCAAGGAGAGAAGTGGGTAAAAATGGAGGTGGGGGAGTCACCCCGCCCTGCGTGCCCCTAGCCCTCATTCCCTCAGGGAGTCCGGCGCCCTGAGTGGCCTCCCCCAGCCTCACCCTCTGCTGCCTCTGAGTCTCCGCCTCTCCCTCTGACGGGGGCCGGGCTAGGAGGCCATCAAGCTGCTTCTGCAACTTGTGTCTTCGGGCAGCCAGCCGAGGTAGGTGGGTCTGGGGGTCCACCAGGCCCTGTGCAAGAACAGAGGAAGAAGGCTCAGCCCTCTGCCGTCCACCCAACATCCCCTCCCACTCACCCACCACCATTCCAAGACCCCTCCTCACTTTTAGAGAACCCACCCCTTGCCAGCCTCCCAACATCCTTTCAGCCCCTCCCTGCCCCCTCCAGTCTCCTCTGCTCACCTGCAGCTCCATATACACCTGACTGGTGTCACTGAGGGGGGCCTGGACCCAGCCCGAGGGGGCTGCTGCACCAGGGGGTAGAAGGCCCACCGCCCCACAGTGGCCCAGGGTGCCCAGCGGCTCCAGGAAGGCCTCAAAGAGGCCCTGCTCGCCCAGCTCTGAGCTCTGTAGCAGCACTGGGGAGGAACGGGAGTTGTCAGGTGGAGGGCCCAGGTCCTCCTCCCACACCTCCTAACTTGGGGCCCTGCCCTCCAAGCTCCCCCTCTTCCCCATCAGACCCTCCTGTCTGCAGGGACTCAGGAGCCTGGGGCCCACCTCACCTCGGGGCCGGGCCTTGGTGAGCTGGTAGGTGGCGCGCAGAGCCCTGAGCGCCTGCACAGACTCCTGAACCCGGGAGAAGCGCCACTCCAGCTCAGGCTGGTGCCAGTGCTCCTAGAGGTGTGCAACCAGGGTGGGTAAGTGGGCCCCCCAAGACTTGGTCTCAACTCTCCCGGCTCTGACCTCCATCCGCCCGCCCACCCCCATCTGCTTAGAGCAATGACCTGCTCTCTCCAGAACACACACTATTCACCACCTCAAGGAACGGAACATGGCGAAAACTAGGGCATCATCTAAGGTCTTAGATGATCCATGGACAACGTTTAGACTGAAGATGACAAACAACCAAAAATACATTGTAATTTAAAAGGTATTATTCAAAGCTCACAAAACCAAGTAAGCAAAAAAGAAACTTGGTTAAACTTGAAAACTTTTGGGTGAGTTTATAGCATTTGAAAGCTTAAAACTACACTAAGATCTTTGGGATATCCTATTACTAAGATCTAATCCTCATCATAA